AATAGCGGTCAAGGGCACCATCCTGTTCCTGAAGAAGAGCTCACACCTGAGCACGGAGTACAGCCATGGTTTCAAGGTCTTCCTCTTGCTTTGCAATTATCTGCTTCATTTCATCCATTTTGAACTGTTTTGCAGCGAGGGCTTGTTCTGCCAGCTCTACCTTTGCAGTCAGTTCTTCCAGCACAGCTTTATCAACTCTGTCCAGCTGCAAGGAAGAACTGTGATTATGAGATGATCCCGAAATATGACATTTCCTGAAGGGGAACAATTTGCTGCCTCCTGCCACTGGAAAAGCTATCGGCTCCCCGGTCATCAAAGGAACTGAGACTAAAATAGCAGTGGTGATCAATATTTTAATGTATAGATTAGTTTTGAACTTTTAAACTACATTATATCAAGCAAAACATAACTCCCTAACAGACACTGCAGAGGGTGTTTCCCCCCTTTCCAAAGTTATACAGGAGAATTTGGCACTTAAATGGAGCCGCAGTTACAAATAGGACCTCACCGTGGTAGGCATTCTATAATTTTAAGATTACACAAATATTTAGGGGTCTACCTTCCCAAATTTACAAATTACAATACAGGAACGCCTATATGCCTTTGTATATCACTGCTGTCTACAGGCTGGACTCCATACCGCACTGTAGATTAGACCCTATCTAGAAAACAGCATGGCTGTGCTGATGTGTAGATAAAGTTTTCCATAATTGACAGCACAGGATCTGTGTTTTTCAGAGCAATTCTGAAGTTGCAGTGCTGATCTCTGTTTTTCAGAGCATGCTATGTTGCAGGCTATGTTACGTAGAAGAAATGACAGTTATGCCATGCTTGAAGTTGTTCCTAGATACATTATCCCATCCCTTCCCCCTCTACTGCTAATTTATTGTGATTTTTTTTGTAATGGGTTTACCTCTTTGCGTTTCATTTCATCGATCGTTTTCATTGCCTCAGTGAGTTCAGAACGGAGTTTGTTGTATGCATCCTGCAAGCTACTACATTTTGCCCTGTTTATGAAGAGAACAGAGGTGAAAGTTTGAAACGCTTCAAAATTCTTTGAAAGATTTGGTGCTCCTTTTAAACATCATCTCTTTTGCCAGACTCCTGCTTGTCTCAGTGAAGATTTCTTTCATTCCTTCCTAAAATTACAATTACCCTGGAGTTTAAGGATTAGAATTGTAGCCAGAAATCTAAATAATTGATTAGACGTTAGAGAAAAACAACCTAGGTTCTTACAAATGAATCTACATCTCTGATGAGAAGAAAATTGTGCTCCATCTCTCACAATCTCTCTTCCAAGCAGTTGTGTGCTGTTCCATGGACTGTGTCCAAACAAATGTTCTTACCGATCTTCTGCATGTCAGATTAAAGAATCCCTCATCCAATATTTTTATACCAAGCCCACAAATTCTGTGAGCTTAGTATAAATGCTGTTCAAATTTTAACACCTCTGTTAGGAAGACATCCAAGTCTTGACTTGGAGACGTCAAGTGAGGGAGAATTCATCATGAAAGGAAACGGACAGCTTCCAAAGATAATGAGCATCTTATCAAGCAGCCAAAGACAGGCCCTTCAAACAGTTCAGCCTCTTGCTGCAGCTTGGACTGACATTTTCAGTCTTTACACGGATTGCACAGGAAAGGGAGAGAGGGAGCCAGAGCAAATAGACAGTCTCTTTATCTCAGCTTCACTCCGTGCTTACCTCTCCTAACCGCAAATGTAGTCTAAGGGCTATAGGCTCCTAATTACTGTCACTTGCTCATTACAGTCACCACCTGACTTGTCCTTACCGTGCCAACCTGTGGACACATTTACCCTTGCTAGTCAATGGGATAATTGTTGTCACTTTTCTGCTCCCTCTACTTGTATATTTAACCTGACTCCAAATGCTTCTGCCTCTGCCTTAGACATTATGACAAAAGGAAGATACAAGTCCATCTGAACAGGAAGAAAAATTTCTTTACTGTGAGGGTGACTGAGCACTGAGGCAGGTTGCCCAAAAGGTTGTGGAGAGGTTGTGGAGTCTCTGTCCTTGGAGATATTCAGAAGCCGTCTGGATGCAGTCCTGGGCAACGTGCTCTAGGTGACCCTAGCTGAGTAGGAGTGTTGGACTAGATGATCTCCAGAGGTCCCTTCCAGCCTCAACCATTCTGTGATTCTAGGAAGTCAGAGCTTACAGCTCAAATTTCTCTAAGTGAGGGGTTCACTGGGCAAAAGGACTCAGTTTGGATCTAATGTGGAGACTCCAGATTCAAAACGTCACAGATGTTGAGGTAAATGCAGGTTTCGAGTTCAGATTCTACAAACAAACAAACATGGTTTCCTCAAAGGGTGCAGAACACAAAACTCACATTCCACATTCAGCTCCCTTTTGGCCAGGATTCCTTTGATTTCCTTTTCTCAGAGGCAATAGGTATCTCCTTGACGTACAAAACAAAGTCATACTCACCTTTCTTCCTGTGTCTTGGCTTGTTCCAGCTTGAACTCTGCCTGCATGCTCTCCACCTGAAGTTCCAGCTTCCTGATGGTGTATACTAGCTGCTGCTTCTCATCCAATTCTGATGCAGCCGCAGAGCTTTTCCTTTCAAGTACTTGGCACCTGACAGAACAGGGGAAAAAGATGGTTGACCTCTCGTGTTCACCTTTTCTGGCACAGCAGGCAGCACACAAAATGAATCTTTGTGTGGTTCATTGTAAAGGCTTATTTTGATAAGAACAAGGAAAGACAAAATAAGTACGTATAGAGCCTTTAGAATACGAAGATGCTGAACCCAACACTTTGTTTCTTATTATTATGAATCTTAAGCAACTGGAATTTGACAGAAAACTGATGTAAGGCTCTTGTATCCACTTTTTATAACCTACAGGATTCACTTGCAAAAACACTGAGAGAGTTCATGTGAAAATGGTCATAACTGGGTTCTTTAGCTTTTTCTCCTAAGACTAAAATGTGGATTGATTATGTGAAGAGGAAAATAAGAAAAGCTTGCCTTTACGTCAGAAAGGGTTAAAACCAAAATATTAAAATTAAAGGCTTTGGAATTCTATTTCTAGAACTAGGTTGACAGCTCAGATTTTGTCAGAATTACTTGATTTCTGCACTTGATTCTCTACTTGCAAAGGAAGAGCAATCTTTTACAGCATTTCTATGAAACTGATATTTAAGTTGATATTTGCAGAGACAGTGAGTTTCCCATGGCGGGAGTTGTCACACAAATGTATACGGGGTGTCACAGCAGAACTTTTGGTTTTTTGAATCTTACTTTTCTTGAAGCTTCTTCTGAATCAGTTCTGCTTCTTTTAACTTCTCATGGGCCTCCTGAAGCTCTTTAAACAGAGCACACACTTGCAAATTCAGGGTTTCTACTTCACTGCCAACCTTGCAGAGAAAAAAATGAGGAAAATTATATATGGACAATTCAGGATAGGAAAGCTGCAGGCCAGCTAAGAGATCTAACCACAGGAAGTACCTTCTTGCTCTAGAGAAAACAGCCTGAGTCACTCTGCACCGTTACACTTTATACTCAACAGTAAGACCCCTTCCGCAAGGTTTCACAATTACCAGTTATTATGGCAGAACCCTGTTTTGACTTAACACTTCCATAAAATCTGGGTGACTTAAAGACAGCAGATGGGAAACACACCTGCATTTTCTTTCTCGGAGTTCACAGTTTAAAACACATACGGGCAAAGCAAACCAACTTAGTGATTACTGCCACTCCTCTGAACAGTTAAACAACAGTTATAGTCTGTCAAAGAGACATAAACCAGTGAGTTCTCCTTCGGTAGGCTTACAACCTGCTAGCATCAGTGAGGCGTGACAGCAGATATTGAACTGAAAAAGCAACTTAGATATAGAGAAGGCAGATTAAAACCTCAACCTCTTTCACCTTCCTTCCTTTCTACATCTTGCACTGGAATTACCCCTTCCATTCTAGATTCCTTCACTCTTGTTTCAGTCAGAAAGCAGAGAAACAGGAATTTTTATTTGTTGTGAATTATTTCAATTACATATGAAACCTCCCCAACAAACCTCCCTACACCCAGGAGTCTCTCCCAGACTGCATGCAAGAGCAGCACAAGAGCAGGAGTCTTCAGCTATGACTTTTTGAAGGAGAAAAATCAACCCCAAAGGTAACTGCATTACCACTCATTCATGAATCAACTTTGCAAACCAAGAAGAAAGTGATTTCTAGTAAAACTGTAGTCAACTTTGTTGTGAGTCTCTGCCCTCTCATTTGGGTTTTAGACCATAGGAAGAGCATTAGACAAAACATCCAATTAGTTCTAATTTTCTGTTGTCTGGCAAACACCTCAAACATTGATGCAAGTCTTCAGGGTGATTCCCTTCTGATGGTCAAATGTTAACTAAACCAGGACCATCTCTGACCTAATATGGGCAAGATATTGAATGATGTATATTCTGTACTGACCTTGTTTAAATCAATAATTACTTACATCATAGTGTACTCATAACTATCTGCTTGTTCAATACACAGACTGAAAGACCCTAAAGACAGGTAAAAAGCAGGAGGAGGAAAGAAACAGCAGCTATGTTTTCTTCCAACCCAAGACATGAAGGACACCTCAGAGTCCCAATCCTTAAAATATATCCGTACTTTTTAGAAGACTTGAAACTTTGGATTTTTGCTGGTCTGTAGACTCTAGAGGTACCTCCGGGAGCTTTCCTAAAGAAAGGCTTGAATCTCATAATCATGCTAGCATCAGTTTAATTTTCCCTAGTACAGTAATTTTCACTGATAACGTCTGATCTTCTCAAACACATGGAAAGTCTCCAGCCCATTACACTCAGCTTAGGAATGAGCTGTGGCTAAAAAGACAACAGGTACATCAAAAGCATGCTGCTGTTGTATATCCTCGAAGAGAAGTTCTGCTTTTCTCAAAGGAAAAGTGTGCCTCTTCGTAAGAAAACTGAAGCGATAGAAGTGGTTCACCCATGATGACTTGTGACACTTCTGGCTTTCAGCTCACACCAGAAGCATGGAACAAAGCCAGTGTGACTAAGAGGCAAGCAGAACACAATCAGCTATGACAGCAGATGCTGATGACACCCTTGGCAATCCACCCGAGTCGCTATCATTTACCGGTTGTACCAAGCAAAGGAGACTGAACACAACAGTGTAAACACAAAGCCCATTGCACAATGCCAGTTCTATCTCAAGAGCAGAAAGAGATTGTTCTTTTACCATCACAGCTACAAAATAAGCCACAAAATTGCATAATGCAGCAATCCAATGAAACAAATCACACTCATGGATGAAAACACCGATTTCTGTAAGGTGATGGTATTTCAATTTTCAGAAAACCATACATCCGCAGAAACTGCCTGAATAGAAAATATGTCAACAAATGTAACCATATATCAGTGGTAAGAGTCTGACTCCTAATAAAGTAAAGGAGGCTTTTAGAAACATTCAAAAAGTCACGCTGTGGTTTCTTAGTCCCTAGTGAAAGCTGCCAGAATCCAAGATATTTTCCTTAATCAGGATACAATCACTCCTCGCTTCTGGAAAGCAAGTTTGCCAGCCTCACTGAAGACAAGGCTAACCTGACTCTCAAAAAATTCCATCATACAGTACAGACTGTTTCTCTCACTGTCACTCTAACACCCACTTCTTAACTTGCCCAGGAAAGGAGCAGTACCTAAACCACAGCTTCCTAGATCTGTTTCTGGGAGGCTTGCAGTCAGCCTCCAAGGGATGGCAAAGCAATAACTGCAGTTGTACTTTAAGACAATTCTTAGGATAGCAGAGAAGTTAGTGTCCAGCTGCCTCTGTGACACAGGATGTGCTCTAGCCTCTTCTCCCTCAGCCACTCCTTATTCTCCAGCCAGAGCCAAAGCAGGATTGAGAGTGTGTTCCTTGCCTCCCAGGGCCTCACCTGCAGAGTCCTCAGATGGTCCATGCTGCACCCACACATTGTTTCATTAAAGAACTACAGCTTACAGCAGAGAGAGACAACAGCAGCTCAGTTGGCAACAGCCCTCTGAAGATATCCAAAGGCATAATAAATAGTAACAATGAGCACCGTCACAAGGATGCTATTATGCTGGCCCCAATATCAGCAACTTAGATGAAGAACATCTGGCTTAAGCTGTAGCTCAGGCAAAGGTGAGACAGAAATACTGGAAAGAAATAACTGAGACGTCATCCTCCTTCCCTGGAAAGGACATCTGTTAGCCTGACCACAAACTGGTACAGGAAGGTCTTGTTTAACTAGGACAACCCTGCTCTCGAATATTCACCCTGGACTTTAGAAGGGCCGGGGTGAATATTCAGTAGATCCCATCTCATATTTGCTAGCCTCATGCAGCATCTCAGGTAACCCACGGTGCATCAAATACAGGCATTCTTAGGTGCCTGTATTATACAGCTGCATTGAGCCTGAATGGACCTCCACTGCCTGTTATGACACTTAACTCACACAGAGATGCCTACAGTTGTAGGCACATAAACTAATCTGAATCTGGAGTTGAATCCCAGCCTCAGCATCCATTCAAAGCCTTGATTGAAAATAATAGGACTAAGTCTGCCTGCAACTGCATCTCAGTCGAAGATAGTTATGCTCCACCATTAAAATGCGTCTCACCAAAACTATGAAAAAAATAACACCAGGTGCCATAGGAGCTCTACATCTAAGGTCTGTTTTACAGCATGCTGCCATTGGATTCTGACCCAAAAGCTGACCTAGCCAGCAGTGAGAAAATTCACTCAGTTTATAAGACTTTGTGGACCTGAAAATGACTACATCCCTCTCTGTTTTGTTGGCACAGTCATGGCAAAGAGGCATACCTGGAATTATACCATGCATCCCTAATTCTTGGCTATCAACCTTACCTTTTTTTGGTAGTTGGTGTAATTTTGAACCAGATCTCAGAACTGGATTGGAGAGTTCAAAATTCACTTCCAGGCCACATGTGGGACAATTGCCCTTTGCTCCCTGCGTACAAGCAGAAATCTAGGCCCTGAGATTATTGGCCTCAACAGACCAACTCTAATTTTTTACATCTAAGCCCAGGACAACAGGTACTTACAACCTCTGAACTCTCCTCTTCTTCCTTCTCAGTTTGAGTTGCACTCTCCGTACGGTTGCCTTCTTCCTTCTTCAGCTTTGACAGCCTAGAAAACAGAAGGATCCAATAGCGATGGATTTGGCCCACATCTGAGCGAGATTAAGACTCTTCACGGGTTTCATACCGGTTATATACTCTCATTCTAACATCACAGTCATGAACGAGACGCAGAACTGAAAGCACAAACGTGCAGGAAAGCCTACTTGAGCAGTGGGGCTCCTGAAGAACACCAGGCAGCCAGCATGTGGGTTTAATTAAAACACATGTGCAAGTCTGTGGTAGCAGGGAAGGAGGACAGTGACAATCGACTGTAGTGCTTTTGTCCACAGTGATCAATCTTTGGTAAAATCTAAAACTGCTTAACCTCTGGAAATGGATCAGTCTGTTCACTGAACCGTGGTTAATATTACCTCTATTTTCCTTTGATATTTTCAAAGGCTGAGATTTCTAAGAATTATTTAGCTATGGCTCATTACCTCTTCTAGGAAGACCATGTAGAAGCAACTACTGGGAGACCAACTTTTTACAGCAGGTGATGTGCTGAAAGTCTTACTCTGTCTCTGCAGACTGGGGATGTGGGGACAGCTACTGCTTAGGCAGTTTCCAGGCCTGAACAGTCATGCTGATTTACACCAATATAACTGAACTCAAATAGACCTTCATGTAAATCTCGGTGGAAAAACTCTCTTAGGTAAGTTTAGAATTAAATTTGTTTTGGAAAAGCTCCTTAGAAATGTCTAAGTGCCTCACATAATCACTAAATTCAGTCTGCCAATGGCACAAAGATGATTGTAATCCCTGTTTTATAGGGAGTGATTTGCTTAAGGCCCCACACATGGGTGATTCATACAGAAGCAGAAAAATTATGTTGGAGCCAACAGACAGAACATCCTCAACTAATCAGCGTATCATTCTGGCTTCATTTGGGGAACGTTCAAACCCGAGAGGAAAAAGGCAGTTTGTCCTGATCTGTACAGCTAACAGGAAGTAATAAGAAGATATGGAAGCTCTCTTGCCAGCAGAAGAGAACCTGTGATTTATCCCTGTCAGGACTACGATAAAAAAGTTATTACTAATGAGCACTCAGGAAATTCCCCAAACAGATCACACTGCTATTTCAGCTTGTCTCTGATCAGTCACAGACTCGGTAACTGCAGCAGCCCTGAAAGCAAGCAGCTCAAGTTGTTATAGTGCATCTATTTCCTACCTCTCCTTGTGATTCTGCAACTCCTTCTCAAGGTTTTCCCTCTTCTGAGTTTCATTTCGAAGGCAGCAGAGCAGCTGGCTCACAGTTAGCTCTTCAGACTCTAAATTCTTCGCTTCATCTGCAGGTTTGCTCCTGCTTCAAACCAAACCAGCTGTGAGTAACAACAGCTATGATTTTGCTGCAGCACCTCCTTACCCCTAGTGCTGGGACCCAGTCTGAGAGGCCATAGTTTCGCACAGTGCTGAAAACCAACAATGAGCAAACAGGTGGATCTCAAGAACCTAGGCCTGCCCATAGGCTGGTAGCCACATTCCTCAAAAAGCCCCGGTGTGCGCAAATGCAGTCATTCCTTTGCACAGTGCTCAGTCTTTTCCGTCAAGCAAGGAAAATAAAAGCATTGTAGACAACACTAAACCTCGTGCATTTATTCTTGACCTACTTTGCAGCCCCTTCTTCAAAGTGTTGCTCTCTGTTCCCAGAATAACTTCTTTCCAATGAAACAGGCAAGATTTCTTATCTCTGTCTCACTCCTTTCCAGGAAAAGGCGGCATGTTCCATCAAAAATGAGCACTGAAAATTGCTTTCTTTTTTAGACAAAATCCCTTCAATATTTCACCTCCATCATATTCTAAAGCTCTTTTGAAAATCATATCACACTAATGTAGAAATGATCCAAAACAAACACCAATCTCCCTGAAAAATAAGAAAAATGAATTCCCTCATGATAAAATACTGTATTCCATTCCTTTCCATGTTTATGTCCACCCAAACAGAAGGTTAAAATATATGGTAAGATATAGGTGCGTTTCTGTGCATTTCAGAAGCTCAGCTGGAAAGCAGCATGTTTAAAACTTCATTTCTGTAGTTCAGAATAGAAAGTAAGCTATACTCCTGTATGTGCTGCTGAGAGCTAGAAATCTTTAGTGAACAAAATTCAATACCAAAGACAGTGTTCAGCCAGGATATTTTAAGTAAATACCTTTATCAGGGGATTTTTACTGCATGCTTCTGCTCTTACAGAAATAAACTGGTCCTGAGTGAATCATGTTTCTCTGAACCTGTTAACAGCACCAGTCTAAAGTTTCAACGCTGGACGAAGATGGCATAGATACTCATCTAGGGGGAAGAAAGGCTTACATACAATATCTCCTCCTAATCAGAATGTTCTCACAGCCAACCGCAAGCAACAATCTGAATGCTTGCAGCCTGCTTTGTGGTCTCACTGTCATTTGTGTCTCTCTGTTTTAACCCCAACCATAATTGTTTGTTTGCTTCTTAACTGAACTGTAACTTCTTAACTGCAGGCTGACAGACAAGTTTTCTACGTTATTTTGCTGGAATACTGATCTCCCTTGCAGTACTGTGACAGGGGTTCGAGGAAAAACCTTTACATAAAGCACGGCTTTCTAGCCTGCTATTCCATTAGCATTTTGTATCTGCTTCCCTTCCAAAAGCAAAGGCCACAAAGTAAATAAGAGCCAATAAGAGAGTTCAATCACAACCACCTAGCTGTTAAAATAGGCACTATCCAAAATGGAAACGTTAATAGTATCAGCTGTCTATGTCCATGAAGAGTAAGGGTTCAGCCGAGGGCGAGAAAGTCCCTTATCCCCTGGAGCTGACATAAAGATCAAATTTTGAGAGGTACCTTAAACCGATCGCTGACATTTTAAGCCTAGTAATTTGAAAAACAAGGAGTATGTGATTGCACTCTGTCTGCCCCACCATAATACACTTCACACTAACCACACACAAATAGGACAGATGGGGTTCAGGTTTAAAACATGAGACCTCTGATTCTTACAAACATCATCATAATTGGGTTGAGGACAGATATTCTAGCAGACTCCTCAGTGACCAGAAAGGAGGGAGTATTCAGCCTTCCTCTTTTCCGTTTGGCCTCCCTTAAAAGCTTCTAAAATAGCAGCCAGTTGACAAGTCAGTGTGTACATAAGCACCTGCCCAAACGGCCAGAGTATATTTATACTCCCTCTTGTCAGCTAGGGGGCCATGTGAAAATAGGAAGGAAAAATGCCGGAGAGCTGAGGGTCTTCCCAACATGGTAGGAAGGTAGAATTACTGCAGTGGAAGGATGCAAGGTCATAGAAAAATGACCTTAATAGATGGACTAGCTCATTCCTCACAGGAAAAACTCTCCTCACTTTAAAAACAAAACACATTACAGAAGTACGAATCACACAAGAACCTACATACGTGTAGATAGCAGCGTTACTGATCATTTCACCACTGTTATCTTGATTTTCTTTTGCAGTTCTATTTACTTCTCCTTCCTAGGAAAGGAAAAAACACTATTAGCTTGGTATTTCAACCAAGCGGAGCACATAGTTTTATTTACTTGAGTTAAGTCAGGAAGAAAAAGAGGCAAAATTACTATGATGGAAATTAAAATAAATAAAACATAAAAGTTCTACAGATCACTTCACATTTGGAAATTCTGAATTATTTCACACGCCTTGCCTGGTATCTTGCCAGGACCAATTAGACAAGAGGAACAACAGACAGATTTGGCCTCTTTTCATCTACAACTTATGCAGCCACTCTCCCCAAAGATGATGGGGCATCAAGCAATAACAGCCAACATCACTGCAGATGGTTTTGAATATAAGCCTAAAAAATAATCTCCTGACTCTCAAAGAGAACCTCTTCTCTTTACCAGTATAAAACTCAGTGCCTTCTCCCTGATCTTTGTAGCTCAAAGGAGAATCTTTGTAGCAAAAAATGAGAACACATTCTTGAAGCCTTCCTGCAGTCTGGAGTTTTCTTTGACAACTCCAAAACCTTAACAAACGAGTTTTAATTACATTGTTTTAAACTCTTGTTGTAATTGTCCTTTCCAGAGAGGGATCCACCATTATGGAGATACTGGAGACCCACTTTTTCACTTATCACATTTTGCCTGTGAAGATTTCTTAGATACAAGAACAGTAGAAAAAGTAGCAACTAAACACGCTGGACTTAGTTTCGCTTGACGACGTCTTTGTGTTTCTGCTAGGAGAAAAGCAAGCCCCATTCCCAAAAGAAACTGACCCCCTCTACACATAGGTGTTGCCCCTTAATAAAATTTAGTACTGATATTCACAGGAACTGCAACTAAGATTAAGACTCTTACTGGTAAAAGATACATACGTATTCAATTAGTCAGCAGTCACCTGCTGGACCAAATCTTTTTTTTCCAGAGAATATTTTCTGCACAATGGAGGCTAGCTGTGAAATTCATTTGCTCTTGGCATGACAGTGGAAGAAGAAAATGAGATTCTCAAGTCCTTTACCACTACATCGTGCAACATGCACGTGCTCCATGTCAGGTGATGTGAGAGGCAACCGTTCTCCCAAATCCACCATACCGGTTTCTTGTACTACTGCTGCTGCTGGTAGAGTTTGCTGTTCCCTCTCAAAGAGGCATAAACACTTTTCATTACTATGGATGTGGATTCACCTTTTCTACTAAAGGAAGACAGATTACTAAATACCTCAAACTTTGTAAAAATATCACTGAGTAAATAGCTAATTCTTCACCTCAGTTACCCGCAGGCCTGACTTTCTCACCAGCTAGCCAAGTACACGAACAAAATTGAGCTAGCGAAAACAGGAGGACCAAGCTGGAACCAAAGTTTCCAGCTGCTGCTCACCATGTTCTTTTTATTCCTCTCACTTACATTCATCCTAATCTCCACAAAAGAGTCCTCTACTGAGTTGTTCAGCTTGACTTGTAATTCTGAAATGATGGCAAGCAGATCTGCCTTCTCAGCCTGGAGCCGCTGCACCTGGGATTTCAGCTGTGTCGCTTCCTTCTCAGGAGTCAGGCAACCCTCCTGGGACAAACGAAACCCTGTGTTAGTCAACAAAAAGGAAACACCAGCCAAGGAGCAGAGAGGCTGACACATAGCAACGGTGTCCCACATTCCTTCTTCTCTCTTGAAGTTCGCCTGGAAAATCCAGTGCATAGACCCCTGAACTATGCTTTGGTCCACTGGAGAGCAAGGAGTCTAAACGGTGAAAACAAGTTATCAAACAATGAGGGTCATGCTTCTGCAGAACATGGGCCTAACCCTCTGAATACACAGATAATTAGGATGTAAATCTTTGCCTGAATCTATGCCTCTCATCACCACATGGGGTCCCAGGCCATCCCATGCTTTCTTCTTTGGTCCAGAATTTGTGTGTCATGTCTTCCCTGCCACCATCCTTATTCCTCTTCTCCCAAATCTACCTAAGATTCTCGGTAGAAAAGATCAATGAGCAGGGAGATTTTCCCCATGCCCCACTTTCAGCCTTCCATGTACTCTGTCTCCATGTAGAAATCTCTCCCTTCATCTTTT